CGAAGGGTTGAGATAACGACAGATCTGACCAGAGCATGTTAAGGCAAATTTGTTATAAGCATTCATCATATTGGTTTAACAGTCGCTGGTGACAATGTTGATTAATTTACTCTTAAAGTTGTCACACTTGCTCTCAAAGGTTATGTAACACCTTACTTGCTGTATATGTTTCCTGTTGTGCTGTTTCTCACCTCTGAGAGCTGGGTCAAGGATACCATTTTGCTGCACTGTGTAACACTACTCGTTTATGATGTGATAAAATTTTTGGTCGTGAGACTAATTTTTGTATTTGTACTCTTGTAATTTATGCTCGGCATTGCCGTCATCGCAGTACCTCAGGATGACTTACCTTTTGAAAACTAATAATAATTACACCTTTTACCTTTTCTCCTTGGGCAACCAATCTACGGGGGAGGCAGGGGGGGACACCTTCCCACGCTCCTTCACCTTCCCTTTCTCCTTCAGGCTAGTTACAACAGCTCTTGAGAATTTTGAATATCCTTGGGATGTTCAAGCCAGCATGCTGCTATTGCTATGTCTCCTGAATGTGGTTCAGGACTTGTTTAAGATTAAACAATTATTTAAGAATACTCTCCAGAGATCAACCGTGGTGACAGGCACTGCGGCTACTCAAACCCCGGCGACAGGCACTGTCACTACTCCAACCCCCCCCCGACAGGCACTGTGGCTACTCCCCCAGTTACATTGTTTCCTTTTCAAGCACATAATGCATTGGATTGCTTTACTTACTAGCAGCAGTAGCAGGACAATATCAGGATTATCACAGGCACAGGCTATATGCATTGATGTCCAAAAATCCTCATCTTGATGATTTACATTTACTCCTCTGTCAATTAGAATTTCTGCAGCAAATGCATTATCATAGCGGGCACACTAGAAGAAAGAAGAGCAGATTAGGGATGGTGTTTTACTCAGCGTACAACTGAATTTATTACATAAGATTTTTCCTCCATTTAACATTTAAATTGAGCAGATGACGCACTGCAGTTAAACTGCTGTATTTGTAGGGGACAACAGCTGATGAATCTAGAGAAATAGTTTTGTGGAGACTACAAGTTCCATGTGCATGATTCACAGAATCCCTTATTCCCTGTGAAAAAGCACTATATGAAATCTGCTGAAATCTACAGTAAAGATGAGGCTTTCTTTCTGTTCGATACCGTAATTCCAAATCAGTGCACAGGCATCAGTGCATGATGATCACATCATGAGTAGTGGCATCTAAGTATATGTACACCCACAAGTACATACGTCCACATGTATGTGCACTTCTGCCTTCTGCCCTTAAGTGGTTCATAGCAGTAATACACGCCTTTCCATACCCACTCCTATTCCCAGTCCACTAACTATACTGATTTCTATTCAAGTCTCTCTGACAGATAAATACTCTGAACACTAAGGGTGTGTTGAGGGTGGGGAGGGGGGGGGGTCGCACACACGTGTGTGTTTCTATGCTTTGTTTTGATGATGGAGGAGAAGAAACTGGCTTAGCCGTTGTTTTGAGCTTACTCCTCTGTCACATCTGTGACTTTTTATGGATGCGCTTATGGATAATACTTTAAAAGACAATCAGGGCACCTAAGTTAAGATCCTAACTCTGGCCTAACATACAAACTCAGTAACTCTTTAGAGAAGGATCCTCCCTCTTTCCCCACTGGAGACAGGTTACAGGGAGACTAATTTTCTGTATTAGATACTTAGATGCTTTGAATACAATCCTTAGTATCTATGCCTCTTCCAACATTTAAAGCTGTATAATATTTCCCTGTCCCAAAAAGCACACATATACACTGAGAGTACAAATATAGTGAAATCTGCAGATAATTTGCAAGTGAGGGTTAAATAATTATGTTGTTATGTCGGTATCGCATGTGGAGCCACAACATGGCATCCAGTTTGCTGATCTGTATTAATCTGGCATGGAAGCCAGCACACTGGAGGAAAAGTGGAAGAAGGAAAAGTGCTTAACTGGATTCCACTGTGAAGTCAAGACATAGCTGAGATATTCAACTGAATGTAGGAGCTGCATGTACTACTGCAATAATAAATATAGATAACTCAAAAGATGAAAATTAAACTCTATCAGGCTAAAAAGCAGTCCTACTTTAAATGATTTCCAAACATACTGAGCATTAAATTATAGAACAGAAATTAAGTTCTGATGTATTTCCTTTAGCTTGCAACTTATCTGGCAGCTCTAGAAACAGACAGAAGTTTTGTTTTGTTGCATCAGTATCATTCATTGTATCAGTAGTGTAACTTACATTGAGCTGTTCAATGTTCAAGCTTTAACAAATCAGAGATAACACATTTTATAATACAAATCAACATAATCTCATACTAATCATATTTTCAAGGCATTGTTAAGCAAAAAAATTTCTAGAGAGCTTCCATACAAAACAAATGACAGATGTCGCTGAGCTATTTTGTGTATTAATAATAGATATACAGCCTTTTGTGATTAGTTACCGGTTTGAAAACAGCCTAGATTTGTAGCAGCAATTTAATTGCCGCTGCTTCTTGATTCTTGTTTAATGGGTTTTGTGGAGCAATTGGGCGATCTCAGTCAAAGTTCCAGGAGCAAATTGGCACTCGTATACTTTGTTACTAGGGCGGGTTGGGTGATTGCCTGCGTGAATTGATATGACACTATGTGCTTCCCACTGAATGAACAACTCAGGCAAGCACTCTCTTTTTTTGTACTTCTCCTCTCATGGAGTCTAACGAGAGTTCAGTGAATACCTTTGAAGCTCCCATGGCTTCCCTGAGATTCAACCATATTGGGAGACTGTCTACAGAGATAGCAACAGAATCTTTATGAAATGTCACATTTGATTTCTTTTAGAAATATATCATATTTTGGAAGTTAACAGAAATGGAAAAAGAAAAAGGAATTATATCATGAATCAGTTTTTAAGTAAAATGTGAAGATAAATATATTTTCCATCCATTCTGGAATAAACACATTTATCCTGCAACTGGAAAGAATAAACACTGATTAGGCTCCCCTTTGGAGAAAGCAGCTTACATAGAATTATAGTGGTAAAACTAGTACTTAGAACGGATCTGAGTGGGCTTTAAAAATATAATAAAGACGCATGCCAAATTACTATTTTGAGTTCTTGCAGGAAAATAAACTTGGCTTATCTGTTTCCCTGTATCATGACTCTCCTCTTCTATGTGTACTGCTCCCAAATAGGGGTCAAATCCAAATTTTATTGAAATCAGGTTTGCCCCATCTCCAATAGAACCAGCATTTTCCTGTAAATGAATTACGAGTACTTATAAGTAACTGACTAAACTAAGGCAGTAGGTTACACACAGTTCTCTATTGCAAATTTCTTACTGCAGGAAGCTTTCCCTCCTTTTGAAGCACGTGTACCTGTGAAGCAGCAGGCACCAGTGGAGACATACTGATTGTGACAGTGAATTGGGGCATGATGCAGAAGATCAAGAAACCTAAAAAGGCACAGTTCAGATTTTATCTTCAGTTAAAACGTTTGCATCAGCTGAACTAGACAAAGCAACCTAAAATCCCTACAGATGGATTTTTCTTTCTTCTATTTTAAAATGCCAGTGAGACAGATGTCACATCAGCCACACTGAAGATAAAGACTGTCTCCTAGGGCTTTCAGCACAGGGTAAGATTTGGGATGCCTTAATTTTGGGAATCCCAAAGCTAACATCTTGTATGGGCTGCATTTTTAAAGAATGATTGAGCACCTTTGCAGCAAGCAAATGGAGGAGAGGAAAGAGAACTTAAATTTTCTCTGTTCCAACTCATTACTGCACCCTCCCCTTACCTAGGCGTCTATTTCCCAAAGCCCTTGGTAAGCAGCATGGCCATGGAAGTTGGAAAACACAGGTTAATTACATAACGGAAACGCTACATCTTGCAAGACCATGGTCACAGGTGTGCTGGAGTCCAGTAATATTATAGGATCCTTTTCTTTGTCAAGAAATCACTCTATTTTGTGTACATACTATGAGAAACTTAATCCAACTGTTCTAAAATGAAACACTGCCAGCAGACTTTTCACTAGATCTGTTATGCCCTTGTATTTGTGAAGACACATTTATTTTAGCAGCATTGTGCAACAAAGTTGGATCCAAACTTCTTAAAAAAGTTCCACATCGAATAGAAAGCATGTCTGCAATTGAAGCATCACAGACCAAAGTAAAGGATCATAAAACTTAGGAATTTATGATGAGTTTTGCCATTGCCTTCAGCAAAGCCAAAATTTTACCTCTGCAGTATTTTCTTCCTGTCTGCCTGTCAGTCTTTCCTCCACATGCCCTTACATCTTGCTTCTCTTTTGGTCATTGTATACAAACTGTTTTCCTTTTATCTTCCAGTTACTTAATCTAAATTGCTATGCAAATAATGATAAAATAAATGCAGATAATGTGTTAAATATCCACGTGTAGGAAACTGGTACAAGAAAATATGCACAAAAACAAAAGGAAAAATGTTACATCATGGTGTTTTTCACATAGGACCTGTGAATCTCTGGACCATATAATTCTATCTTTGGAATCAAGCAATATTTCCTTTGTTAGTTCTTACTACACAGATAATTTATAAATAAAACATTTCATTCTACTTTGTTAGTTACCATTCCTATGACATGATCCATCCTTTTGTAAGCAATTTGAAAACGACCATTTATTTCACACACATAGCTGGATGCAATCATAACCACCGTGGACAACAGTGTAGATAAAAAATTATTGCTAAGCCTTTCTTTTTGTTAATATGCCCAATCTGCTACTCAGTATCCCACCATATTTATCCACAGTCACTAACATTAATCTTCAATCACTCTTACCACATGGAGCAAGGAGCCTCCTGAGGAAACAAGCGTATGAGGGTCAGCGCCATCCTTCAATAGCCGTAGCACTGAAATATCAAAAGAAAAGAGGAACAAGAATTAATGCAGCAATATACCTAATTCTGAGCTGTTAATTGGCTGATTCTTCATCATCTTCATTAAGAGATTTAATAATATATGCAAACCTCTCAGATAACATTTGCAAAACTATCATGTCAGCATTTCCCATCTCATCTATTTTAATGGCTAAGCTTGGAAGCAAAGGACCTTTGATAATGATGTTAAATATGAACAGTATCAAGGACTTCTCAAGCGGACAGATGAGTATGTCAGTTCTGTACCTAGGAGAGGGGAGGGGAGACCTGGAGGAGAGACCCTGTCTCAAGGTCACAATCACCTGATTAGTTCATTTGGGAGCAAAATCACAGTCAACTGGTTTTGTTTTACTTCGTAGAGTTCCCATGAGATTTGTTGGCTTTTTCAGTAAATAATTGAAATTAGTGTTCATAACATATCACTTGAAATTAATCACCATACCAAAGCTAAATGACCTGCACTCAATTTAACCTTTCCAGTGCATTGTCAGATCACTGAGGCAGCATAACTCTCAAAGTGATATTTGGAGTCAAACTCCACTCCCAGTTACATGTATCAAACCCCTTTGAAATGAAAACAGGCTTATAAATGCAAGCAAAACCACAACCCTTCGTATTGGTGCTCACTCAAGTGTGAAAATTCAGCACTTTTTCCCCTTGGTCTTTATCGCCTTTATAACCTTTTCACTCAGAATCAAAGCATTGACTAACTCATGCTACCAGTGTTCATTACTGGGATAGAATTGCACAGTAACAATGCCAGACGTTATCGGGGAATCCACACCGGCATTGCAACCCTGTCTTCACTAGACTGGTATGAAGAACCCTTTTAAAAGGCCTCCCTCCAGGAGAGCAACTGCCAATAATGTTTCCTGTGTAGGAACACAGCTGGTTCTGCCTCCATCATCTGGAAATCCTGGTTTTAATTCCTAGTTAAGATTCCTGGACAGAGTTGTGCAAAGGTCTGCAAAGAAATTTTAAGTTCTGAGTACCCCAGAAATCTGTTCCACTGCAGTGTCTGTCCTACAGGAGGGCCATAAAATTGTCTCAAGGCTCTTCTAACTTCTGTGAATGTCAAGAGACTCATGTACACCATCTCCTCCTTATCCATGCATTTTTCTTTCTCTCTAGAACTTGCAACTCCATTTCACTGTACATAACTTCTTACAGCATTCAAACATTCAGTTGACCTATTTGAAAGGGGTCAGTTTTCTTTTCAAATATTGTCAATTTACACAGGCAATGTTTTCTGAATGTGTTGAATGACTTTTGACCTAGAAAAATTCAGCCTAAGAAGGAAAATTTGGCTAAATGGCTGCAAGCCTGTAAAATTAAAGTGAAAGACTTGGCGTCAACATTATTAAATACTTCACACATAGTAAACATACTGGTATATTGGACAAATATTTATAATAGGTATACAAATCCATTTAATCTTTTGCTCTTTTTTAAACTTTGAAAACCAAACATCAATCCAAACCATTGTATAAATCCTTACTTTATAAATAGTTCCATGGTACCCATTTCTCCTCACCAAAGGTTTTGCTTCATTTAATTTACATAACTGTAAAAGACTTTTATGTTCTGGCAAATGCCATTTTGAAAGTTAACTACTGTTAGAAGTCACTGTTGTCCCCAGCATGTCCGCAAAAAGTAGAAGGGGAATAAATGAACAGTACAACAACTGCCAAGCAAGATGGAAAGCACTGAGGCAGAGTGGGAGGGTAGAGAAATGTTTACAAATTTCCATAACCTTAGGAAAAATGGATGAACGACAAAAAGCAAAGTATTTCCTTCTGTTCTCAGAGCCACAAATCCAATGCTAAAGTACACAACTGCCCTCATCCAGACAGAGACCATTAAAAATAAAGGTTCAGAACTAAGTTCCTTCCTTCCTTCTTTTAATACCTAAATTGCTGACCATCTATGGAGATGCTTCCTCTACTTCAGGTTTTAGTGAGTAAAGACCTTATTGTAAATCCTCCCTCCTTAAATAGGCGTGCAACTGCATCATCCTCAAGACTTAATATTTTCAATGTTGCTATGTTCTGCCATTTCTTTAGCAGGCCAGAAAATACAAATTCCATATCACAGAAGATTTCTTAAGGCTCCGAAAGTAATTTCATTCTGCCAATCCCATCAGGATTTCACCTGAACAAATTAACACTCCAAGTTGTTCCCCTTCCTCCACCCCTGCTTTTCAGGGAAAAACAATAATTTCCACCCATTTCAGTCTCTCAGCTACTTAATACAGTGTTTTTATGTAGCATTCTTTCTTATGGACTCTGTGTGTAGGTTAAAAATGTGACCTATGGCTTGGTTCCACCTGCAATGGTAGTCTCATTTGCAAATATGGGAATTAAAGCAGATAGTCCTTGAAAGTGTGATTTGCAGAAATTATTAAACAGCCATAATTCTTTCTCAAGGAGGCTTTAACTGATGACATCAGTGAGAGTACATAATCCTTTGAAAATGCCATCTTTATGGCGTATTCTCACAGACTGCGCTGCTGTCAAAAGGGGGAAGGTATGTTATCCACTGCCTGGCCCACTCTTCCATTGTGCCAGCTCTCCCCACCTATGCAGCTGCACATTCAACTGGACCAGTAAGTCTTTTTTTTTTTCCTTTTTCTTTTTTCTCTGTCCTGGCAGGGTTAGTTTTCGGCCCCATCAATGTGGCTGACTGCATAGCTCCATAAGCACTAGCACAGAGGATACAGATGCACACATCATGTGGAGGCAGAGCAAGCACACTGCGTTTTGCTGGCAGAAGTCTTATGTTGACTAAGGCTGATAATGAAATAACATCCTCAGTCTGTGTTTCTACAAGACGGGATAAGCCAATTAAGGAGTCAACCAAAAAGGTCTGTTCCCTTCCCCCATTTGCAAAAGGACTTACACATCATTTACCTCTGGCTACTTCTGCATCCAGGAACTGACTCTAATGGCACAAAATAAACCCAGCAAAAATAGAATGCAGAGTTTCTTGTTGGATCATTGAGATGAACTCAATCATTAAGAGTCTTGGGATCACCAAAACTGGCTTTTGGCTAGGTCCTTCCAAGCAAAGACAGAGGATGAAGACCCCTCTCTTTTGGCAGGAGCAGGACACATGGGAAGGTCAGACGGTTGGGAAACCGCATTTCTAAAAATATTCCACAAGAATTTCATCTGGAGCCCAAAATAGTAACCAAGTGACAGAAAGAGCCTGTGGCTACTTGGGTATAGAAAATATGGACAATTTATTGAATATCTTCCTTCCATCAAACCCCCAAAGACTTGGTCCTTACAGAGAAGCTATGCAAAATGAAGTAATGTCTTTCCAGATCCATTCAGCAACATCTTGCTGCTGAAACCAAAAAATGACAGACCATTTCTAGATCTGAGATTGAAATTCATAAGAATGAATGTTTTTGCCTTGCTTTTTTCCCCCCAGCAAAAATGCAGACCAAGATTACTGCATAAACAATTAATTCGTAAACTGCGATCTTAAAGTAGAATACTAAATAATTATGACCATAAACAAGTGATCAAATCACATACAAAAAATTAGGGTAAATGGATAAAAGCTCAGTAGTTCTTTTCTTTGTCTGGTTTATTTTTCCTCTTTATTGCTTGTAGCTTAATCAGTGCTTCAGGAAATTCACGTCACAAAGACTACCAGGGCAAGATATGCAAACTACATTCCTCTGCATACAAAGACAAGTAAAAAACATTCCTCCTTCCTTGAATTCTCCCCCCCCATGCAAAACACAATAAAAAAGAAAATAAAGAAAAGAAGATCACAGAAGCAAAATCCCCCTCCCTACTATGCAACTCACTTAGGTCATTCACTTAAGACTTTACTAGTCAGTGGGAAAATCTTCACCTTATGTTCATTTTTTCCTTTTGATAGAACTACTCTAATTACTGTTAGTAATTTGGGATGAATTGCCCAAATGAGGACAGAAAGTCATAGATGACTATATTCCAGAAATGCTATGTATCTCTTAATTAATGCAATTCTTATGGAAGTTTTCACAAGACCTTCTTTTAAAACTTCTTTTATTTGTAATCTTTCATGGAAGAGAAGTCTCCAGAAAAGATGAGGAGACTGAAAACAGGCTTTAAGGCAGGAAGCTGACATTTACTTGAAAAAAACCTGAGTAAAATTTTCAGTAAACTCTCAAGTCCTTCCTTTGTGTGTATAAACAGGTCCATCCATTCTCTGATGTCTTTTAGATTTGACACACAAAATTATCAACTACTTAGAGCAGAATTTCACACCTAATTTCATATCTAATAAAGGTGTTTTAGAAAGCATTGAAGTTATAAAGTCTCAGCAGTAAAGAAAGATAATAATCAAGATAGCTTTTTACATATGCCTGATGTTACAATTTTAACTAAATGATTCCAGTGAGCTGAATAGCTTTCCACACGCCATTGACTGTGTTGACTAGCTTATGACTTATTAGGTAGCCTTGTAATCCAGTAAAGACAGTATTGCTGTGCTGTTACTGGCCACAGGTCTTCTACTAACTTCACATGTGGGACTAGGGCTGTAAGGCTTACTTTGGCTGGCTTGTCTTGGCTTGCTTGGAGCTTTATTTTAACTTTTTTTAGCTGTTATAGCAACTGGTTAACGACAAGGTGGCATTTACCTAACAAATTTTAGTTTCGTTTAGCTTTGTATAACTGCTGTGTAACGTGTTAAGAACTTTTATATATATGGCAATAACTAGTACTTATGCTGTGCTATGTTGAATAGCATCTAGCTACTCTGGCATGTAGAACTATCTATGACCTTATATGCTGCAGACAAAAGGAGTACAGATCTGAAGGGACAGCAGAGCCTGGAATGTGAATTCAGAGGGCCCAGGGCTATCAATAACTCACCAGTGATCAGCTACTGATGGTAGTGCAAACTTAGCAGCTGGGCAATGTTGCATTCACAGCAAACCCAGTTTTAGTAGTAACAGAAAAGACAAAAAAAAG